ATCCATTTTGGCTATCCCTCAGAATGTTATTTGAATCCAGGTAATCTAGTATTTTCCCTTGGATTATACAGTAGCTTCCATTACTTTTCCAGTTGTGCAAGTTAAATTGATTGGCCTATAGTTTGCTGGATGACTTCTATTCCCTTTTTTGAATATGGGTATTATATGATCATGCTTCCAATCAGAAGGTACCATACCAGTAGATAAGGATTTCTGAAATAGTAAAGTTAAAGGTTGGCTAATAATATCCCTCATCTCTTTTTAAAACTATAGCTAAGATGCCATTAGGGCCCTGCAATTTATTTATTTTGAGCTTAGCTAGGCTTAGTACCACATCAGCCTCAGTTATACATATATTGGTCATAGACGACGCTGTATTTGCACTTAAATGGTGGCAGGTTACTTGTGTCCTCTACTGTGAATACCCATGTAAAATAATCATTAAACTCTTTTACTATATCAATTTCATTTTGAATTATAAGACCCTTACTATCCTGCACATTAGTGAATTCAGCTTTTAGAGCTCTTTTGGAGTTGAAATATTGGAAGAAACTTTTGTCATCCTTAGCCTCCAATGCAATGTTCCTTTATACATTCCTCTAATGTTATTTTTTAAGTCAACCTGTAGACATAGATACTCCTGCTTTATTTTGAAATCATTAGTTATTTTCCATTTGTGGAAGAGAGCCCTTTTCCTCCTGACGTTATTCTTAATTTCCGTAGTAAACCACCTTGGCTGCAGTTTCCTAGATTTAGTTTTGCTGGAAACAGGTATGAAGTCCTCTTGCACTTGCAACAATGTGCTTTTAAAAAAATCCCATGCCTCTTCAACCGTTTTGCTGTTTAACTCCATCTGGTTTACAGTTTCTCCACAGCTTAATTTTTCCCATTACTAAGTATGTAAGTTTGACTGCATTCTCTTTGTACCTGTCCAAAGGTCCATGTCTTGGGGAAGATGTAATCGCTAGATCCTATGTACAGCAGACCGTGTTCATTCATCACATATTCCCGTCTGTCGCTCTCCTGGGGTATGTATACTGAATCATCTGCCAGAGATGAAAAGAAGAGCCACCAAAGGTACCATTATTCTTCAGTGTATCTGTATGAGCGCAGAGAGTGCAGTATTCATACTCAACATTTGGTGTGCTACTGTAAATGGCAAGTAACTTTAACTTGATACCCCTAAATCAAGTATTAAATAGTCCACGTGTCACTCCCCCCTCCTCCACCCTTACCCACACTGGGACTCACCTGAACACCAAGGATTAAACAGCAGGATAAACTTGTTATCACAAGTGAAGGAAGAGGCAGTCTTTATTCTCAGAGAATACTCCCCGATACAGGCTTCGGCTGGGCTGCTGACAGACAGCGTCACAGAGGAGACAGTCTTCTCCTGGATGCTGGCATTCCACAAATTATTCGCCAGCCCCGCAGGAGAGATCCTGAACATCGCCTTGGTCCTCAAAGCCTCAGAAGCCTGAAGACCTGATTGATGGTACAGAAAAATTATTACCTTTGCCAGGTCGTTATCCCCTGACCTCTCTCGGGTGTTTTTAATTCATGCACCTTGCACAAATGCACGGAAATTAATTGAGATGTTTTGAGGAGATGAATCGGTGGCATCTCAGCCACAGTTGGTTTCCTAACGCTGTGTTGTGTAACACTAGTGATGCATGTGCACTAAAGCTTGTGTCATAGGCTATAAATTCGAGATGTTGTAGCATGCATGTCAGTAGTTTATACTAAGGGGCATCACACTAATGATCCAACACAGCCTCAGCTCAGTATTCAGGTACAGCTGGGTGTAACATCCAGGACTGCAGGTCTGACTGGAGGGTGGAGACTCTGGCTGACTGGCTGACTCTGACCAGCCAGAGGTGTTTCTCACACGCTTGTCCCTCATTCTCATAGAAACACTAAATTGATTAGTAAATGATGCCTGCACTGACTGTTTTTTTTAAACACAATGTAGTTTTGGTTGTCCGTCACAGTCATGGTAACTTTCTGGACTGTTGTAACTGTGTACTACCATAAACATATTTTTCATAATAATGAAAACACATAATCAGAGGTGAGAACAAAACTTTTTTTTAAGCACAATGTACTTTAGACTGTCCATGGCAGTCATGACGACTTTCTGGGCTGTCTTCTACTCTGGAGTTGCTCACGAGGAGAGGCGCCGAGCTGGGGTGGGCATACTTATTGCCCCCTGGCTGGGCGCCTGTACATTGGGGTTTACCG